AAAAAAAAAAAACCTCAAACCCAAGTGAAATAGCCCTGAGTGACTCAACCCCATCGGACGGATTCTCAATAAAACACTGACATTACCCCACAATCTCGCGAGTTCCACGGATTTCGGTGCCAAATGGACCAGAATTTGCCGCGATGTCAGCTGTAACATCCGAGGTACCAAACCTCATTTTACTCCCATTCACTCTCATCTAATCATCCATCATTTTCACTCTTCCAATTAGCGATACGTTATTTACTTATCTAAAAATATTTATATCCTGACCTTTCCTTCTGTCATTTTCCCAAATTCCCTACTACATTTTATTACTTAATTGGTGAATTATCTTACTTTGCCATCGACTTTTTAACAGCTCCATTCGCACAAGCCCTTCACCCTTTTATTCTGTATAATAATAATTATAGTCTCTTGGGAATGGGAGGAGCAGTGGTACACCCTTTCCCTGGGGTTGACGATCAATGAAAAGTGGGAAAAACAGTTTTTCCTGCACATGGAATTATTGTGCGAATTTCAGAAAAAAACAAAACAACGGTGTCTCTAGTTTTAGCAGCACGTGTAGACTTTAGTTACTCCAATTACATCATGTGAAATATGAATTCGAGGTCACGCTAGGGGCACTTTTGTGATGAATTGTTTAAATAGTACTGCATATGATGACACGGATCGGTGTGGAATGTTTTATAGATTAGATTTCGTTTTCCTGTAACGTGGATATTGTACAGCTAACACACTTTGCATGAAAGGGATCAGAAAGTGGGGAGTTTGGTGCATTATAGAACACGCACATGCGCCCAATTTTGTTGGAAATATTGCATGACAGCTCATATGATTTAGTTCATGTTTTTACAGGAGAACTCATTGTCGTCTGAGCAATTTATAATTCAGTAGCCAAGTGGTAAACTAGGAGGAGTACATTTCCTGTCGAGGCCGATTTTTCTCTAATATCTCGAAATTCAGGCGGTATTCCGAATTTTTTGTCAAGAGACTTTTTTTAGAAAAAGATAAGAGGAATAAAAAAGGTATCTATAAAAATATCGATATTCTCTTTCAATTTCGAGATATTGGCTAAAAACTGACCTCGAAAAAAATACATTTATCCTAGTTCATCACTGCGCAACGGAATT